TATGCGGTCGAGTGGACTGATCGCAAGATTAACTGGTTTTTTGACGATATCAACCACTACTCGCTCAGTATAGCCGGCCGTTTGGCCCCTATATATGCCAAACCGGGCCAACCATTTGACCGGGCGTTCAAACTGGAGGTGCATTTGGGAGTGGGTGGAGATTTGTTCCCCGGCCAGCGTTTGTTGGCCAACGAGTCCGCCCATTGGCAGTGCCCGGCCTTTCTAGTAGACTACGTTAGGGTATATAAACGTGTCTATTACGATACCCAACAGTTCCCGATCCCGGTGCCCGACGGGACTGATCTCAGGGCAAATATCGATGGGATCTGTGCGGCGATTACTAGGCCAGGGATGTCCAGCGGGGGTGCTATGGGAGGTGAATCAACGCCAGCGCCTGAACCAAATGGGCACTCATTTTGGCAGTTAATTGAGTTGAAAGTGTTGCTCGCGTTGGTGTGGGTGCTGTCGGGCCTGATTGTGGCTGTGCTCGTGTGCGCATGCGTTAAGCGCCGCAAAAAGGCCAGTAGGCCTGAAGGCCTGGACCACAATCTGAATAACGTGTGCAACGATAATGAGCCCCAGTTTTACACCGAAATCCGCACAAAAACCGATGACTTATACTATGCTTGAGTGAAATTTTAATTTTGATTATTATGTTTTGATTTTGTATATTTTTTGTATTTTGTTTAAATGATTTAAATGTGTCTTAATTTACATGATTATAAAATTTATGTTTTATGTTTTTTATTTTGTAATTTTTAATTAGTTAGTTAAAAATATAAACGTTATTATTGTCTACTTTCTAATGTGTAATAATATTTAAAGTATTTTGTAAATAGTTTTAATTAAATTAGTTAAATATTAATTATTTAATTATTATAACGTTAAGTATTTTAAAGCATAGGGGGCAATAGTAGTACTAGAACTAATATTAATAACTCAATTAATTAAAATTATCATGAAATGTACTCATAAAAAAGTATATTTATAAATAATAATTAATTGCTATGTTCAAATAATTACCTGTGACAAAATTATGAATCACAAACCACAATAACAAGTGAAATAACACAAATTCTACTATATTAATAATATAACAATTTGTTATTAACAAATTATCATAGTAATTTTTAATAATAGTCAAATTCCAAATATAAAAATGATTTAAAAGTTTAATACTTTTATATTTTAAAACATTTAATAACTGGAAAAAACATTATAATTAAAAATCAAATTTTCTAACACATCTGGTTATTCAAAACATAATCATATTTACTACCACAATAAGTTATAATAAAACTGTCATCGATTATCTTTAACCATCAAATTAAATTAAAAATAATTAAACTTGGTTATATATTTGTATCATGAGTCAAACAACTCATGTGATCATGGATTTTGGTGGCACAATACTTGATCACAAACCATTCAAACTTTACATTAAAGATTTTGGACTTCAACATGGTGTTAGTTTTTCGGATAGTATTTACGGTTAGTGAAATGTTTAAATAATTTTTAATTGTAATAGCCTGCATAAACAAACAAAATTGTTGAACATATTGATCATAATGTAGCTGAAGTTTAACTAGGTTAACCATGCTTTTTTTCACATCCAATGACTTATCATTGACTAACAAAATCTGGTTTCCTTTGTGTTTAAGTCTTAATTAATTTTCCATTATTATTATTGTATGACAATAATTAAAAATATACAATATTAATAAACAAAAAATGAACCTAGATTGCGTTGATGAGGCCGATGACCAGAGCAGTGGACATAGCTCGTTACGAGAGCCCTTATTGGACGAGCTAAACGTGCATGATCCGGCTGATCGAGATGCCATCTACGCTGAGTTTAGCCGTACGGCGTTTAAGTATCACCTGTGTCATTTGATGCCGGGCGTGGACAGACTGGTGCGGCACTTGCACCGACACGGCATACCCGTTGCCATAGCGACTAATGGCCGTTCGGCCCGATTTGATAAATTTAAAGCTAACCTGGGTGATTTTATACCCAAATACTTTACGCACGTGGTGTGCGGCGCCGACGACCCGGATGTTCAGCGCAATAAACCCGACCCACAGCTATACGAGGTGTGCGCCCAACGGTTCCCGAACCCGCCCGTCAGTCCCGATCGGGTGCTGATTATTGAAGACTCTATTCGTGGTATTACTGGTGCTCTCGCGACTGGTATGAAGACATTGTTAGTTAATGATGGTAAACGTGCGGACACGGCCCGGCTGTCCGCTCGGGTGACGTGTGTTGTCGACTGTTATGATAGCCTTCAGCCCGAATCGGTTGGTTTACCCGCTTATGACTAATTGTATGTGTGTTTTATAGTAACAAGATTTTAATTGCTTGTAAATTGAAAGTAATTATAAGGTTTTATTTAAAAGTTTAAAATAATTTCTTAACTAAATTTTTAATACATATTTGTTTTATTTTACACATAAGAAAATTTTATTTAACAGTAATTTTTATTATAGGGATTTGACAACTAGTTTATTAACCGATCAAATTACAATACAACTACCATAATCCGTTTAGTTTATCACAAAATAGCAATGCATACATTATGAATACGTAGAAAAATAATGCCAAAACCTGTTAGAAATAAAATTTTGTAATTAAAATCTATTATGTATTTTATTTTTATATCTTAATTATTCTAACCATTAATGCGTTAAATCTATTGATGATAAATATATTCAATATATAAAAGCCATTAGTTTTTGTACCAATTCTTGTGATTAGATTTAGTAACTAGATGAATAACAACAAGTTGTAGTTTAATTAAGTTGATAAGTGAGTTATTGAGAGAGAGAGAGAGAGAGAGAGAGAGAGAGAGTACTCAAACTTACCTTGTATTGTGATCTCACGCGCAAATGATTAGTGACTACAGACAACGAATTTAACAATACATATGCTTTATTAATCTCATTGTACAAATTGGCCGAATTGACCACGATAAACACAAACGTACCCGACCAATACACAATAATCATAACAAAAAACGCACGGTGAAACGCGTCCACATCGGCTACAACCAGTGAATTAAAACTACCAAAAATGGCAATCACCATGGTGACACTGATCAGTGCCAAATAACTGGACCAATAGATCCGGTTATAGTCTCCTATTTCGTTGAGTATCTCCGTGTACTCACGCGTGACCCGACTCACGAGCAACACTCGACTCCCCTTTTTGGGCACTTCCCTACCACTGGAGGTCACGTGAGTGGCCAGTAGTCCGTTCAGGAAACGTAACTTTAGCTTCAAATAGTATACAATCATAAAGTAATAAATGGTTTGATAGTACATCCAGTGGCGCATATAGTGTGCCCACACGGACTGCCAAAACGATTGCGGTAAGCCTACGCACACGATAAATTCCCAACCACCATGGTGAGAAAAGCCAATAATATCTATGGTAAACACCATAGCCTCGGATGTGATGGACAACAGTTCAATCACTTGTAGGCAGCGCTCAAAAGCGGCACTAAGTTTGGCGACAATCGCCCGATCGTTGACACCGAGTGTTTTGGGCGCCACTAAACCGGCCAACATTTCCATCACCCGCAGGTCACGTGGTTTTATACCACGTTTATAGTTGTAGTATTGGATGGCCATACAAGTTAGTGCGAAAGTATCTAGCACAAATACAATGACGTTGTGTATGACTCCGGTGCCCATCATGTGATCGATGTCGGCCAGTTGTATGTGCATTGTTTCGGATACCTCCCATTTGTTCACATAGATTATGATCAGGATCAAATATTTAACCAGGTGTTGTATTAGAACGATGAGCACGATGAGTGGGTGGTTGAACCAAGACCGTTTGATTGGATAGGCTGGTTTGAATAGCGATAGTCCAATACGGTAAAAGTGAGCATCGGCTTTCTCGATACGTACACTTTCAGGTAATGGTTCCGATAGCAAGTAGTCATTATCGTTATGCTCTTTGTTTAACATGGTTTAAATTTGTTTTATTTTTTAAAATATTAGCAATTAACCAATTACAAATATATTTCAAACCAACTAATTAACACAATTAATTAACAAGTAAACATTTACAATTTACATTATAATTATTCATCTATACAGACTAGATAAAAAATCAAATAATAAACACAAATGTACTATTATTTTAGTGCACATTAAGTGTATAGTAATATAGCGGAGACTTTATATAACATTTTAAATTTATTGATTTTTATGCATATACCGAAAATATACTGTACTTACGTAATGACATTTCTTCCCATCATTAATATCTTTATGAATTTTTATTATACATGCAATTCATAAAAATATAGTCGTCATATTATTTTGTTTGTTTTAGTTTAAATATGAGGCATGGTCCAGGAGGGCTGGTATTTAATTACTATTATTAAAATACCTATATAATTTTACATCGCAAAAATTTGCTTATATTTTTAACAAAGTTAAGTTTAACATTTATCTAAATTAAATCATTTTATTTGGCTATTAGCTAATGGAATATCAATATTGTTACCTTGACCATGTCAAGTTTTTTATATAATTTATATATAGAGGTTTGTATGTGCTTTAATGATTATATTATTTTTATAGTAATTAGACAAATAATTTTTAAAAATAATTTCTTTTTAAAAGCATTTCATTTCTTGAAGATAAAGATCAAGTACATTTATTTACACGTACTTGATATAAAAGTTTGATAAATTAATTGCCAATGCTTTACTAACTTTTACTGACTATGGTAAAAACAATAATTGTATTTTTGTTTTTTACATTATTTTTTAATTTTAATTTATTATTTATTTTTGAATTATATGAATGAAATTTTGTCTTATTTTTAAAATATGTGTTTACTTATTATAAAAATTGTTATAATGTTATATGAATAAAATTAAAAGCATTAAACTATTTTTAAACTCAATAACAAACTTATATACACTTCGTTGAATTACCGGAATATGACTGATTGCATGTCTGTTTAGTTTAACGTATATTTATTAAATAATTTAATTTTAATTAATTAATAAATAGTAACTTTAATACTTAAAAGAGCATAATATTTGTTGCAATGTTGGGTTTCTATACTTATAAATTATAATGTTAAAACAACTTCTCTTACAAGTAAGTATCCTTGGGATACTTGGTTGAACTTCAATACTTCAACTTATTACATCAATTGTTTTTATAAAATTAATAAAATATATAAAACCAAGTTTATTAAAAATTTATTAAAGTTTAAAATAAAGAATTTAATTATTAATCAACCAATTACATTTAACTACTATCTACTACAATTGAATTGTAATTAAACAATATTTTATTAGTTATAATAACTGTTATATTCTATTTTATATATAATAACTACTTTTAACAAATATAGTCTACTATTTTGATATTCATAAACAATAAACATCTCAATTAAATATATGAGAAGAGACACAAATAGACCGATAATAGGAAACCAATGATTGCCAACACATATAAAGCGTTATATGGCTTGTCATTAGCCGTACGGTCGCCGCAATTGTTGTTAAATCTGGTCATTGTTGGCGCTTTAATGCGGTCCTCACAACCCAATATGGCATCCCTGGCCCCCGACCACGAGTGCGGGCCTTATAAAAATAAAACATCATTATTAATTTACTTTATGAGTACATTAAATCTTTGAGTAAAATGTATAATAATGAATGAAAATACCGGTTAAGCGGTACTGATACTGAAGACTGGGCCCGAATAGCATCGCCCGCCACAGCCGGAAATCAGTGAAAAAGTAGCGCCAAATGTCGGGCTTAACGTCCGCCTGAACTGCGATATCGTCCATATAGTCGATCGGTTCGACTTCAATAGTGTGTCGATCGGAGATCCCGAACCGTCGGCTCCGATACCGACGGCATTTGTCAATGTCTTCGTTCATAGCGTCGACGGCTGGCAGCGGACGACACTTACCGGCCATCAGTTGGACAAACCATCGGCACTGGATCTCACTGATGGGCAATAGAGTCCCGATTGGTTGTATGAGTCCTATGAAGGCCAGTGTGTTTGAGTGCGGACTCAGCGCTGGGAACATGTCTTTGTAAAGCGATATACGGTTTGCGTCGACGGGTATTAAGTGCTGCGACAGGAATGGAAACCACAGCCGATAACCGGTGGCCAGTATTACGACATCGCACGGCGTTTCACACGAATCGCCTAAAAGTATATAATAATGCGGTTTATTTAGAAATACGCAAAAATGTTTACCTGTATTGTATGTATGCACCTAATTCTATAACTACTCCTAATCTAACCTTAAGTGTTTTATTAGTTAATAAATGTCTTACAAGTTTACAAGTT